AGTTTCGCTTTCACAACAAAGCACACAGCGTCTTCACGACATGGCTGCAGCGTCAACAATACTACAGTGAGAATAAAAGTTACGCCTTCTTTCTTTGCGTGAACATTTGGGCGGCGTTATGCAAATCTTCCCACATAGTGAGGTAGATATGTGGGGGCGTGTTAGAACAAGCCGTTTTAGGTAGGTGTGGCTCACTCTTAACTTTTATAAAGAATATCTCTTTGGATTTGAGACTTTAGTCTTTGCAACTTTACAGATCTTCTTTATGCACCGAAGGGGCTTTGGAGTGCTTGTAACACTCCAAAGAGAAAGGAAAAATTGAAATCGCATCATATGACCCCTTTAAGGGTAACAGAGACTACATGCTTCTGTGACCCTTCAATGAGTTTTTTCTGAACTCTTCTACAGATGTGTGGCTTGACGCAAGCCTTTTTCTGAGCTCTACAGGCAGTTCTTTTGACCTCAGGGCTTGGTTTTTGCTCTGACATGCATTATCAGCTGTTAGACATTTTATAAGACGTGTGTGCCATTCCAAATCATACCCATTCAATTGAATTTGCCACAGGTTAACTTCACTCAAAGTGTGGTAACATCTACAAGCAAAATTAATGCTCCTGAGCTAAATTTCAACTGTCCCAGATATGATGAATACTTATGCAATGGAATCATTTTAGTGTTTATTTTTAATACATTTGCAAAGATGTTAAAAGCCTGTTTTTTGCTTTACAATCATGGTGTATGGAGTGTAGATTGTTGTGGAAAAAAACTAATTTAAAGCAGTTTAACATAAGGCAGCAACAAAACAAAATGTGAAAAAATTAAGGGATATCAATACATTCGCAAGGCACTGTATATGAGGAATATGTCAAAGTCGTTTATATGTGCCAAACGTCCTGCTGCCATCTGGTGGCACTATGACTATAACTGAATATTGTCATGTAGATGTCTTCAGGCCAGGACTTTTATCAAACATGTGAAGTTTGGTGCAGATTGAACATGGTATGTTTAAGTTAGTGTAAAACAAGACATTTCCTGTTGCCAGCAGGTGGCGCTATGATTATAACTGAATATTGCCCTTTAGATGTGTTCAGGCCAGGACTCTTATCAAACATGTGAAGTTTGGGGCAGATCGGACATTGTATGGCTGAGTTACAACAACGTAATTTTCCAATGGCGAAATATCGAAATTTGTCAGGCCGCCACGGACACGCCCTTTAACGAAAACTCAAGATTTTTGCAATTTAACATCACAAAGGCCTTTAGATTAGACTGACCAAATATAATGTTGATGTCATTAAATCTCTAAGAAGAGCGTAATACATGCCACTTCCTGTTGGCAGCAGGTGGTGCTATGACTACAACTGAATATGGGCATGTGTTCAGGACAGGACTCTTATTAAAGGGGTCATGCATTTTTTTTATTATTATTATTTTAAAATGTTCACTTAGGTTCACTTATAATGTTAGTGTGATTTTGCATAGTTTTTATAGGCGGGGCGCATTCAAGTAAACGCCCACTGCTATGATTGGCTAACAGTTTCGCTTATTAAAATAACAGATGGATGCTGCAGTGATATACTCTGAAAACAACATGGGTCATTTGGGTTAAAAACTTATAAATACGTATAAACGTATAAATACTCAGTATATATCAATATATATGCGATAGTGGTAAAGCACATTTACTCACACTTATGTATTGTGACATTACTGTTGGATCCACTCAGACTCAGTGCTGCCATCTTTGTTTACTTTTTCTTTAAAAAGTGCATCATACTGTCTTTTAAAAATGAATCGGTAGCAAAGTAAAGCAAACAAACAAACAAACAGTGTTTCACTGACGTGATCTGGAGCACTTTACCCCGTGTTTACACCGGATGCGAGTGGGGCGGCACGCAACTATAGACAACAGAAGCCATTATAATCAGCGATTCTGTCTACACTGGTTGCAGCACACATTGACACAACAGTGAATCATTTTGCAAAGCTTCGAAAAGGTTTTTTTCTCCCATCACTACTGTATGGTTCTGTTGATGGAGTAATCCTGTGTTTGCGTCTCTCTAGTGTAGTATTTCCTCTCCTACTACAAGCGCGTATCAGTGGGAGGGGCTAAAGAAGCAGTGACGTAGAAGCAGGCGTTGATCTTCTCCTGCGGAGGCATTGGTTAGCCACACTATTAAGTCATAAAGTGGCACATTCCAGAACGAGTCGTTTTTTGAGCTTGGTTTCAATAAAAGCTGTTTTTAAACTAACGAGAAATGTTTGAGTTTTGAAACTTACATGATGTTTATATAGTACATTGAACTGTTATATGTCAATTAAATTTTGTAGGTGGCGCTATCGAGCCATTTTGCCACACCTAATTCTGAAACCCATATCAGATGTAAATTTTCGCCAGTTCTGATGCATGTGCAAAGTTTTGTGAGTTTTCAAGCATGTTTAGGCCCTCAAAAATGTGATTCACTTTAGAGAAGAAGAAGAAGAAGAAGAAGAAGAAGAAGAAGAAGAAGAAGAAGAAGAAGAAGAAGAAGAAGAAGAAGAAGAAGAAGAAGAAATTCACTTTGGAGAAGAAGAAGAAGAAGAAGAAGAAGAAGAAGAAGAAGAAGAAGCAATTCCAGGAGGGCTCTCGCACCATTGGTGCTCGGGCCCTAAAAAACTTCAGAAAATCAACATCCATGAAAGAGCTGCAATTGCTAAAACTTTAATCACAGACACTACAAAAGATTGTGTGATAACCATAAAACCTGGACAGTTAGACCTTCGACATCAACATCAACATCTGCCCTGGTCAGCTTAATCACCTGACTTGAAAATATCAAACCACTGTGAACAGTTTTGGAGAGAAGATTGGGAAGAAGATTGCTTCCTTCAACTTCGCTGAAACAACTGGCAGATGTTTTGATAGACGAAATTCCACTAGACTACTCAAAAGTTGTATGGATGTATTCTAAGGTTGGAAGCTTAAAACACCACAATAGTGCCTATTTCCCAGCTCTTCGCATTATTTTGTCCAAGACCTGTATGTAACATGCATTTAAAGAATAGATGATTTTACATTTCATGCCAACTTCAATAACTTGTATCAACCAAGCCTTATTTTCCAAACACCAGAAAGGCAAGCAGCACCAAGAAGACCTCACATCTCCACTGTCTGGTATCCTGCATGCTGCACTGCTTTAGCAGGCTCCCACATGCTTCCTACAGCTGAAGGCCAAAATTCCAGACCTATCACCTTCAAAGATTATTTTACACAAGGTGAAAAGTCAATGAAGGCATCAGAGCACCAGTAGAAGGTACGTCTGGAAGTAAATATTCAAACTCGACCCGCGGCACAGTAAGGAAACAGAGGAATATCTAAAAAACATGAAGATGAATGAGGTATCTTGAATGAGGCTGCATAAATTTAGTTTAGTGGACATATGGTGCACAGTATTTACACTTACAGTATTGATGGTTATTCCTACTGAATACTAAATGAGGCACTTAGTGAGCCAGTGAGACAACCTTTGGGTTATGAGTCCGACTCTCTAACCATTAGGCCACAACTTCCCCTGTCTCTACAGTCGACTGAGCACAGCACACATAGACGTAGCTGATGACGTCACAATGGACTCCAAAATCATTTTCTAAGAAATGGGGAGTCAGGGGCTATCCATAACAATAACACTCATGCATACCCACCATGGGGGAGAATTGTGCCACTCACACCAGACAGAAGAGCTGGTTTAGCAGTATCGAGCTGTGTTATTAGACACTCAATTGGGTGGAGCCTGACAGAGGTCCAGAAATGTGGGAGAACTTGTCTCGTGTTGACGAAGGTTCCTCAGAAGAACTACAGTCATGCTGACTCTTCACCAAGAGCAACAGTAGATAGGCATCTTTGTTATGTAAGTGGAACGGCAACATACTAAGCTATAATTACACTTTCAGCAACAGATAACATGTTATCTCATTTACAGGAACACACAGTCATGATCTATGGCTGTTTCAAAACCTAGTGAGCTAGCTGCCTACCAAATCAGCATCTTTGGGCATTATAAAAGCGTTTCTCCATTTAAGTTTACATTTATAAATGAAAGTAAGGATCTAACTTCTGCTCAGGGTTATGTGATCCTAAAAAGACAGCTACTTCATTCACTTACTTGAAAAGCTTAATTGAAAAAGATTATAATATTTTATTCAATAGAATATAATGTTATCAGCGAGAGAAAGAGAGAGTGAAAGAGTGGGAGAGAATGAAAATAAAGAATAGAGAGGCAAACATAAGATCTTACCGTCTTAAATTAAATTTAAATGCAAAACTCAGCATTACAATGTTCAGAGCATTGTGAGGGGTTGCCAAGGGGGAGTTATATGGTTGCTTAGGTGTTCTGAGTGGCTTTCATGTTGCTATGCTGTTGCTAGGGTGTTTTGGGTGGTTGCTAGGTGGTCATTTACTGGCTCAAGTCAATAGGACTGCCCAAGTCTATCTGATATTCTGGTATTTTGATATGACTCTTGTCCTTCTGAACTGTCATTTCTAGGCATTTTTTATATCCAAATGGAACACTGAGAACTTATCAAACAACTGCGTGGAACCAAAGCATATTACCCATTTAACTGGATGACAAAGGTATTTAACTGCTGTTTAAAGGTCTGTATCATTTCCCAAGCTTTTAAAGCAAATATGTTTACAGACACAGTGGAGCCAGAAAGAATGTTTAACTGAACAGGTTATTTACATGGAGAAGTCTTAAAGATACAGAAGCTATGACGGTCTTAATTTCTAAAGGTCCGAAGAAGGGAGGAAGATGATTATGTGAAACCCTTTTTTTCAGTTCTTGGCACTAAGTACATCACCAGCTACAGTTTCAAACAAACCCGGATTCAAAACCACCAACCACTATTACAAGAGAAAGAATAAGGTAGATCAGGAAAGCAAATCAATACTCAATATCTCAGTTCATGTTTGTTCAGTACACTGGGTGAATACCTGAAAAAGGATTATATTCTGTTAAATCTTGTGCTGGTACATTCACTCCTGCAGTGTGATGACTGATGGGGTGGTAAAACACATAGAAACTCCCTGTGAAGGAGCAGTTAAAATCTGTCACATTACTCATCAAGCGACATAAATGAAGGTGTAAGCATGTTGATTTGAAGATAAGCAAACTAAACGCACCAAGTCATGGTTCCCACATCTTTGACACAATGAGTTTACACAAGCATTCAAAAGTTGAGTGTCAGTAAGATGAAATAAATAAATAAATAAATGCATGAATGATATTAATAATAACACATTCAGCAATGATACATTCATAAGTTACAGTAAAGACAATAATAATAATAATAATAAGTGTTTCTTTGGCACAAAATCATCATATTAGAATGATTTCTGAAAATTCAGGTTGACCATCACAGAAATAAATTATACTGAAAATTATTTCAAAATAGAAAATAGATTTTAAAATAGATTTTAATAGTAATCCACATTTCCTGTTTTTACAGTCATTTTGATCAAATAAATGCAGCCTTGTTGAGCATAAGAGACTTCTTTTAAAAGCATTAAAAAATCTTACAGACCCCAACTGTAGTTGTAGCTGACTTTCTGGCCAATTAAATATTTTAGGATTTTTTGTTCCCCCCCAAATTATATTAAATTCCAAAGACTTTTTAAGATTTCATTATCCTTATTGGTAACACTTTAGTTTAGGGACCTGTTCTCATTATTAACTAGTTGCTTATTAGCATGCATATTACAAGCATATTGGCTGTTTATTAGTACTTATGAAGCACATATTAATGCCTTATTAGTTAATTATGAGTTAATAGTGAGAATTGGTCCCCAAACTAAAGTGTGACCTTATTATTATTATTATTATTAAATTGCTGAACTGATATGCAAATACTTACAGTAGCTCCACCCCCAAGACCATGGTCACATTGTCACCAGAGTGGTTGCTGCGGAATCTGATCTGGAACAGGTAGATGGCCACGTTCTGTCGTGACGTCAGCATTCCCGCAGTGCCACGGACTGGAGAGAGATTCAGGTCTTCTGCCTGACACGACCCCACACAGATCTGATCTCTAAGTGCGTAGTCTATAACTGTATAACTCTCCTCACTGAAAAAGACAGACAGAGAGAGTCAGAGATTTAGATTAAAGAAATATTAAAGGTTAAATCACTTTTATCAGACATATACTTGTGGTGGAACTCCAAGTCCATCACTCACAAACAATTGTACTTTTGCATTTTTATTATAAAATTAAGGAATCACTTACAGTGCATGGTAGAGCTACTGGGAAGTCGTGGCCTAATGGTTAGAGAGTCGGACTTGTAACCCAAAGGTTGCGGGTTCGAGTCTCGTACCGGCAGGGATTGTAGGTGGGGGGAGTGAATGTACAGCGCTCTCTCCACCTTCAATACCACGACTGAGGTGCCCTTGAGCAAGGCACTGAACCCCCACTGAGCTCCCCGGGGCGCACATGTCACGTCACTTACAAAAAATTGGAGAATATAGGTGAACCATACAGACGATATTTTGAGAAATATCTCAAGTTATTATTGTTGTTATTAACTTAATTTCTGTCGATTTGATTGCACAGATACTATTTGAACTGAACTGAGCTGGACGATGACATCACTGAATCAATGATGAACTGACTTTAACTGAAACATTGAGTGTTTTCTATTGTCCTCTTTCATTATCGACACACAATTTACCTGTTTAATACTGTAAAGCTGCTTTGACACAATCTGTATTGTATAAAGCACTATATAAACAAAGGTGACTTCACTTGACTATTATTATTGGTTGAGGACGAGTAAATAACAGAATTTTCATTTTTGGGTGAACTATCCATTTAATGCAATTTTATTTATTTATTTAAATATAAAAATGCTAACAATTGTTTATAAAATTATTTTAGGACTGAATACACCACTCTTGCCTTCACCTGCATCTCTCACAGTAAGGGGGCGCTCGTTCAGTTTCAGTTTCAACTCCATTCAGAATCTTAGAGTAAGTGCGCATTCACTATTTTACAGATGTTACTTTCATTTGATTTATTTGCTGTATGGTACACTATTTTTGCTATGTGGTAATTGTGTTCTTTGTTTCGATAAATTAGTACTAGTATCAGTGAACATCATAATAATGTTAATAATGTAGTTTGTGTAAACCGCATGCTTACTTTTTTATTTCAGATGTGAGAATAACAGTAGAGAGCCAAAGAAAATAAGCAGCCCACTCGGTCATGGAAAACAGACTGATGTTGACGTTCCACAGGCTCTGAGATTCCTGCCCGCACAACAACCTGGACCACAGCTAAGACCATGTGATGCACACACTCCCAAAATGATGTGATAGTTATATATATTCTATATAAACTATAAACAAAAAATAGATACAATTCTTTTTTCCTCATATTCTTTCTTGTAGCAATTCCCTCTGTCACATACCTGACTGAAAGGCTCATTATGCAGGCCTTTGTCTTCTCAGGTGTGAGTCACAGCATTATCCATGACCATTCACGCCCCCTCGCATATCCCTTTTCTACACAAAATGTGTCTTAGAAAATTTAAATCAATATATTGTTTTCTGTGAGTGAGTAAACAAGATGATTTTCGCATCATTCTGATGCAAAAACTCTAGACTTCAAGATCCAGTTCTCAAAAGTCTTGTGAACAAATGTTCTGTATGTGTTTTATGGCCTTATTTCAGTGACTTTAAAATTTTAGTTTTTCACTAAGCACGCATAAACGTTGTTTTCTCAAAAACACAATCACATACATACATGCTGCCCACATATTATTGTAGCCCAGTTTGTGCTGATTATGGTGCTACTAATTTAGCCATTAAAATGTTTATAAGCAACTCAAAAAAGCACAAATGTCAGGGCATGTCAAAACTTCTCCAGGGCCCCAAAACACCCTCAGACCCCAGAGGGTTAAGGAAGTGAAAAATGTCCTTGACATATTTGTAAAACAATAAAATACAAATTTGTCTACTTAAATTTGTAGAAAGATGTCCTGACACATTTGTTATAAAAACAACTGATCCATCTGTACAATATATTAAACAAACTGTATTTCTGTCTGCAGTAAAGATAAAATATTTCTCTATTAAACAATGATCTGAGACCATGTTTGACCTCTAACACTGACTTTTGACTGTTTGATTTAGCATGTTCATGTGTATGCAAGTGCTATTTACAGTATAGCACTTTAAAGCATATAAATGCTAGTGGTGTAGCATTAGTCAGCATGTCTTTAGCCAGATAATTAACTGAAACTGTGTTTGTGTAGAGAGATAATTGAATAATTGGAGTCAGATCCTCCTGTTCAGTTCCTGAACAACCTCTGGGCTCTGCCCAACACAATCACAATGCCATTTACATTCCACAGACAGAGAGGGACCATTACAATTAAACTAAATTCTGGAAGAAACAAGCTGACCAAGAAAGAGTCAGTGTGACAGAGAGACAGAGACCAACTAAAATAGCTATTAGGAAGCTGAATGTTAATAAGCAGCCCAAATGTTATGATGCCTGCATTCACTTACACCATTGAAAATTGATTTTAGTTCAAAAAAAATAAATAAATAAAAATTAGTGGGCATTTATAAGTTCTTTGCCATAACATTTAAAAATCCATATATTGCTTATAATTATTTCTTATCTTTAAAATACTTTTTATATCAGTGCAACCGTGCTTCAAAAGAAAGAGCTTTTCAAAACTACTAAAAGTGGAAAAGAACGAGTGTGAAGCTGACTGTGGTGTCAACTCACATTACCTGCTTCTAGGTAAAAACGTTGTGCTTGAACTCACTGTAAAAAATACAACGGACTGTATGCTCTGCACCTGGGAGACAGGAAATCTCTCCATACCAGCAGGTGGCAGTAGTCTGTATTTGTCATTCAGAAAGGGAAAGCAGAAGAACTAGAACTGCAGATTTAAAGGGGTCATATGATGCTATTTTAAAGATCATTATTTTGTGTGTTCCTGAAACCACGCCTTCTTTCTTTGCGTGCACATTTGGGCGGCATTATGCTAATATTTCCACATATTGACGTAGATATGTGGGGGCATGTTAGAACGAGCCGTTTTAGGTAGGCGTGGCTGACTCTTAACTTTTATAAAGAATATCTCTTTGGATCTGAGACTTTAGTCTTTGCAACTTTACAGATCTTCTTTATGCACCAAGAGCTTGTAACACTCCAGAGAGAAAGGAAAAATTGAAATCGCATCATATGACCCCTTTAGAACAAAGCAGCACTGTCTTGTATCGGCTATATGATGATATAGCCTATAGTCTACAATGACAGCTCAACCATACAATATTGTGATACATAAATATATCTGTACAGTGCAGGACTGCTTAATATTATTGACACATTAGAGCAATAAAGAAACATGCATAAATGAGGAAAAAGTGCAGGACGTACTTAGTTAAAATAAAACAATAAGCCCCAAGAAGCTGTGGTTTAAATGTGATTTTAGAACAGCTAAGGGGCATTGTAAAAAAGACAAACCCCTTGATCTGTTCTAATCACTGTAAACTATGGCTTCATGGGGTTTATTGCTTTAAAAAATAAATGAATAAAAATAAAAAGTCAGATCCTGGCAAGATTTCATCAAATAAACAGTGACAAAATGTAATAAATGTGACCTTGTGCTGGCAAAATGAGTCACAATGAGCAAATTTTCAAAAATGAGTTATTTTTTATGTTCACATTAAAAGGCCTTCAGAATGATGTATGATTTGTTGGAATCTGACAAAAAATGACTGAGCTACACCCGTTTGATGTCGATAGAGTCAGCAAAGTCAATTTTGAGAACAATTGAGTTAAAGTTTTCTGAAGGTTCTAAAGCAAAATCACAGAGCAACGTTGCATCTTTTCCTCCAGTTCTTTTCTTAATAATAATTACTATATTAATAATCACAATATAGCTATTTTTTATTTTATCTTTGTTATTATAAAAACGAACAGATGAAAAAAATAAATAAATAATGCATTACCTTTTTCATTTTACATATAAACAAAAGTATTCAAGTAAGAAAAACAAATAATCACATGTAAAATTCCCTTTAGTCTGTTAATTACAAATAAATTGATTATTAAAACTACAAAAGCAGTTCAATCAAGAGCAGCGAGTGATTCACTCTTTTCTTTTATTGTTAAAATAATATCAGTACCGCATGTCTAATATAATCAGTACCTCAGCTCCCTATACGCAGAGTACGCAGTTTGCGTAGGGCACCAACCCCCGGGGGAAAACTTTCATTCTATATTAATATTAACATACGCATATACATAAATACAAATATAAACATGAACATATATACATAATTAGGCTATAAAAACATGCATTTTAGGGTGAACGCAGTAGTCAGTAGGCTAAGCACACGTGACGCGCCATTCCCGCATCCGCCATCACCTCATGTGTGCGGCTGACTGCAAATGATCATAATTGATGGAGAACTATGCCCGAAAAAAAAAAACATCAGCAGTCCGGCGCCGAGAAAAGAAAAAGTAAAAAAGCCCAAGATGAAGCCTGTGCATCCCTTTCAGGTATGTTCATAATCCTGTGAAACCTTTTTGGCTGTTGACATTAATAACGTTAATTAACGTTTTAATTATCATATGATCATTTAATTATCATATGCCTTTGTAAATTTTGAAATTTGGAATGCTCCAGCTGATGAAGTAAATCAGTGTTGATTTTCGGAGAGTCTATTTACACTAAGTGCAAATAGGCCGCCTTGTTGGCAGAAGCTATTTACACTAACTTCGCCCACCTACCTGTGATTGGTCTAGTCAACACTACAAAAGACAATTAGCAAGAAACAGCTCCAGTGGCGTAGATGGTAAAGTGTGTACTGTAGTCGTTTTGACGCGATCGACCCAAGTTCAAATCTGCCTTTTGCCGAACTTTTTTTTTCTCTCCCTTTTCCAATCTCATATCTCAAAGGAAAGGCATTTATTTCCAATAAAAATTAAGGAAATAATCGAAAAGTTGAAAATAAAGTATCGGGTAGGGTTAGAGTAGGTGTAGGGAGGGCTTTATTGTCCCAATAAGGTGGCATCCATTTTTTAAATTGAATTAAAATTAAAATTTA